TTCGTTTTTCTTGTTCATTGGGTAATAACAGTTATAGTTTGAGAGAATTTAATGTAATCATAAGTTTAACCTTACATAGAAGCAACCTTTTTCATAAAGGATAGATATAAGGAGAAATTTGAGCTGATCATCACGATAAACACTTGTGGACTCAAGGAAGAATGTATGCAAGATTGTCTTATGAGATGAAATATTGCTGTCAGTTATGACTTATCTCTACATCGTGAAGCTGTCAGAAATTATTTCAGCATTCTTGTACTTAATATTGGTTCATTAGAAAGTACATGTAACAAGACTGTTGTTTGAGAGAGTTTAATGTTCACCATGAAAGCAACCATTCATATAAGCAACATTGTTAGCATTTTTATTATTAGTTCAGTCATTCACAGAAGCATTTATTAGGCACTACAAATATCCTCAAACCTCAGTTAAGTAGGACTTAGAGAATGGGAATTTTCCATGGGACTATACACTTGATATCAGTGGAGCAATGGAAACTATGTCAATGATGAAAAAGACGTGTCCTTTGTATCAAAATAAAGCTGGTGAGTTGTGTTGTAAATAAGTCTTCAAAATACATCTACTGTCATAAAAAGTAATGTATCAAACAGATTTTATAAAATTTAATATACCATTTGCATTGAGAATATTTTGCTAGGTATTCAGTGAACAAAATTCATATATTTTAAATTTACTTTAAAACTGCAATATCAGGTATTTGTTATTCTCTTTATTTTTAAATGTAAAGCCGAACTATATTGGGATTTTCAGATGCTATTGTTTATACAGAAGAAAAGCATGCAGAACATTTTGGAATCCTATTATATATACAGTGTAGGTTCCTGTATAGGAATTCCAACTACAGCTGGAACAGAGGAAATCCTTTCTGAACATGCACACAGAGGCCACTACTAATAATTATTTTTTCAGCAATATGCCTGAGTGTGTTTTGTAAAAATAAAAACCAAGAAGTTCAAACAAACTCCTTTTAAACTGACAGTACCCTGTAAAGCAACACATTGTTAGATCCATACAAGAAAAAGGAGCCTATTTGTAGATAAACAATCGATTGTGTTTAGACTCAAAATAAATTAAAACAAAAATCCAGTCAGAATTGCAATTCTGAGGAAATCAATTCAGTGCGTGTAATCCCTTAAATTACTATGTAATAACAACTTGGTCATTTCATTTTCAACATGTATGTTAAACTTCCTTCTTTGTGACCCTAATCAATTAGCATACAGTACTGATACATGTAATGTATGCATGACATTATTACTAGTTACTATATTTGCGTATACTTTGTGTATATTGTGAACAAAATCGGTTGCTTCGATCCAGGTTTAGAAATCTCTTCTCAATGTTTCAGATCGTGGGACAGCAATAGGGGGTATTATCAGTCAGTATCTAGAGAAGAAGTGTGAACTGGAGGACCATGCAGTACATCTATTATTCTCAGCTAACAGATGGGAGGCCGTGTCAGTATTTGTCAGTAGATGAACTAATAGAACATCAACATGGTCTTCTCAGTTAGATTGTTCATGGTTCCAAGACTTTATATCTTGTAATGTTTTAGGGATAACAGTCACTTAAAGGGATAATAACTCTTCGTTTTGGCCCAAAAATGAATTTTCCTGGAGTAAAGAACAATTTTCCCATACTTACCAATGATTAATGAATCTATTTTTACATTCAAAGTTAGTCCCTGGTTTTTTTTCTAAAAAGTTTTTTTGTTATAATCTCTTAAGAGATTATAACAGAGTATAGCCATCAATGGAGGTCACGTGGTCTTAAGACAAGCTCAGACATCAGAATGACAGCTATAACTGACGTTTTTGTGGTAAAACAAAATATAATATATTTCTATGAGTTCTTCACAGTGTTTTTATTGTGAAATATAGATCTCATACGAAGAGTTATTATCCCTTTAATTTGGAACATATATTCTCTCTAGTCTGTACACCAGAATAAAACAACTATCATATCTACTAAAGGACAATACTAAAGGTGAAAAATTTAGATACTGGGTACGCAGTAGGCTGTAAAGGGTTAGAGGTAAATTATTCGGTCAAGTTTAAGAGAGGGTTTACAGTGTAGGGAGACAAGTCTATATTTAACCTCCAGATATAAAGAATTAACGGATAATGCTGGCTCCATGGTAATGGGAGTGGTTCATATCCCCCCTTCCTCTTTCATCTCTTTTCACTCTAAGACACAGTGGGATAAAAAAGAGCCAAGCACAAAAGGTGCCGTATCTCCATTCTGTACATGATTTGTATGCTGTATGTTTGTACTAGTACAAGCATTTTCTGTTTTATGTGGTTTCATTTTTATTTTGATTTCAGACCAAAGATGAAAGAGCATTTACTCCAGGGGACAACTCTCATTGTTGACAGATATGCGTTTTCAGGAGTGGCGTTTACTGCTGCTAAACAGGTGAGTTAAAGCCACAAACCATGTGTTAGACCTTTTGATAGAAAAAGTTTTTTTTTGTGGAAATTCCATTTATTATCTATATGACACCAATGCAGAACTTATTTATTGACTCTTTTTCAAGCTCTGAATTGGTAAGTTTTATTGTTCTCAGGCAAATTAAGATTGTGTATTGTTTTATATATATATTATATATATTCAAGGGTTTCGGCTTAGACTGGTGTCGACAACCAGACATTGGTCTCCCAAAGCCAGACCTCGTCCTGTACCTGACCCTGACACCAGAAGAGGCAGCCAAGAGAGGCGGATTTGGGGGAGAGAGGTAAGAGATGGGGTAATGCAGTTTGTCCCCAAAACTTTTGAATATTCTGAGCCTTCAGGCCATCAAGGTCTGAGGATCTACAACCCGGAAGCAGAGTTGCAGCCAGTAATTAAACATATTCACATAATTTTACTGGCCCCTTCATTTCTACAGGCAATGGCCATGGGGTCAATATTAACTTTGCAGATTGTTAGCTGTGGTAAGATGAGTACTCAGATTTAAGGCTACATCTTGATTTCATCTGCTGACAGCTTCATCCCTTGTGTACAGACCATGAGCAGATATAGTTGTAGGTTAAAGAGAACAATGATATTTCACTTTCAAGTTTAAGTGCAGTAAGTTAGAAACCTTCAGTTTTCAGGCAAACATTTCTTGTTTTTTTTTTTTTTTTCCTTTATAATGTACACATTTTTTTAGCTTGCAGATTTAATGCAGGAAATAAAAAAATCTTTTTTGTTTTGTTTTTAGATATGAAAATACACCTTTCCAAGAAAAAGTGGCAAAGAACTTTGAACATCTGAAGGAAAACAACTGGAGGGTAAGTGCTATTGGTTTTACTTATGCACTAGTATTTTGCGAGTGTGTGTGTGTGTGTGTGTGGGGGGGGGGGGGTAGTTGAACGTCCAAGGGATCAAGAGGCTGCAAAGTGGTTAGGTAACTGGCAATTATACTCTTATACAATTATTCTTAAGAATTAAATGCAAAGGAACAGAAATAAAATAAAGAGCATTTGAAAAATACTACATTTGATTGATGACTGTTAACTTAAGCTAGGTATGTCTTTGTGTATGATTATTGTGAGTGGCTGACTGACGGAAACTTTTGGTCTTACTGAAACCAATAAAATTTCAAGATAGTTGTGTTTAGTCACTCTCCAAGGGAGAAAAACAGGGATCTTTGTTTTGAATTTATGGTGAATCCAACTAAAAGTACTTCTGTCAGGTAATTTTTTTTTTTAATTGTTGGTCTGAATGTCCAGTTGTTTAAAAAAGTTTTCAGCATGGCTAGATTACAGTGGAGACGACATATTTGGTTAGGAAGTTGTCTTTAACATGTACTTTCTTATTCAGGTAATTGATGCTGGAAAAGACATGGAGTCCCTTCATGAGGAAATTCAAGAAATCACCAGAGCAGTCATTAAAGACAATAAAGATAAGGACATTGAGAAACTTTGGATAAACCATGATTACCCTGTTAAGAAGCGGAAGTCTTTGGGGGAAATAAACACTAACCAGTGTATGGGAGACCAACTGAATGTCAAGTGATCATGACCTACATTTTAAATTTAAAAAGTTGTAATTTTATATCTATACTCTAGATCATTTTATGTTGAAATCATATCATATATACATAAAGGGACATGACATGTATTTTTAAGCCGTTTTATTCCTTTTGGACAACCTGTGATTATTTCAAATATATTAATGCCCCTGCACATGGATTGAATACTTTGCACAAAGTGAACAGCAATTTATTATACTGCACTGGACTTAATCAAAAGGGGAAAAAGTGGTGGTCCGAACACTGCAGTTAGTGGGGTACCTTTGAGCTTGTATACAGTATATATAATACTTACCTATATGCAGGGAACAGGATGGATGTAACAAGTACTAATAATTTTAATTATTAAAATGAGCACTGGGCAAGTTAATTATATATTCACACCCTATTCTTGTACATGGGTGGAATAGTATTGATTTTCTCAAGTAGAAAAATTGTTAATGTCAGTGTATTTATTTATTTATGATCTAACATTATTTTATGTAAAATGATAAAAACTGTCATTATGTATGGTTGTTGTTACTGTTTGGGGCAATTTTAATGAGTGAACTCTTCATTTTGCTCTGTATAGCGAAGCTGTTACTTGGGACATATTTCAGATTTGTTGAGATTTTAACACATCCCTGTCAAACATTTTTCAATCCATATTACTGTAGATTTGAAAAGTAGTAATATGTTTGGCAGGATATCGGAATTGTGCCCTTTTTGGTTCACATTTATTTGTGTCGAAAGTACCCTAGGTTCTAGATTCCGGTATTGCCAGCTCGATCTTGATTTCATATATAACCCATATCAACAATACCGGCTCTAGTGAACAGCGGCCATGTTACACTTCCGTCAATCAAATAGAACTGCTCCGCAGTGAATCTACAGTTGAATGTCATCAGACCAAAATGAAACGTTAAACAGATTTTATTCTGCTTTATTTAATTTTATTTGCTGTATTTAAGATGAAAAGTGAAAAAATAAATTTATTCTTTGAACAGAAAAGATATATCCAATGTTTTTGTATTTTTTGCTTATCAAAGAACATTTAGTCCTGAGATGTACATGTGCGCAATACACGTGCTTGCCGTGTGCCAAATTTGACAGCTACACTGCATGCCCGATACCACTATAAGGGCTGCGCAATGGCTACACCAAAATAAGTTTTTAAAGCAGATATTGCTTCTATTGTGGCACTGACCTTCGACTGCAAGATGTTTTCAATTCAAACTTCGTCAGGCACTTTGCTTCTTGTCTCGTCTGCACGAGATAACTTCAGCGCGAGGCGGGAAAGGCAGCTCCAGGCGGCCAAACCTGTGACGTACGAGACTTATGACTTCCAAGTATGGATCAAGGCGGATACAGCTGTGACGTGTGACTTCTAAATATAGAAGCGCCCCAGGCAAAATTTTGAAGAAGAATGCCCTCAGATTGTCGCTGTTCGTCAGAGCTAGTAAAAGCGACTCCATCACAAGGTATATTTAAGCTAGTTAGCTTTTACGTTGCTCTGACACTCAGGGTAGTCGCAAGACATTTTAAAATCAAATCAATTTTGACATGAAAGTCGCTAATTTTTTCTTTGTCTGCACTGAATATTTTAATAATGTATCCGGAAAAAAAAAATTCTAAACAAGGCAGCAAAGCTGTCAAATGTACAGACAAGAAGCAGAAAATAACACTGACCACACTGGTGAAGGCTATATGTAACATTAAAACTAATAATGCTCTGATGAACTCACACAAATTTTTTATTTATTCATTGACACAGTACGTTATAGAGTATTGGGTTTACAAACAGTAATAACTTTTCAAATGGAAAAAATCATGTTTTCTATAAATGACAGAGGTAACTATACCTAACATGTTTTCCATCCACCACATCATAACCCTATTCATATCAAAGTCGTAGCTTTCTTGTTCCTTTTCTTTTCAGCTTCATGGCATCTACATCTGATCATTTGAACATCTTAACTGAGAAAATTCTTAGGTGTCAATATTCATATACATCAATTACACCAAGAAAAAAAATTCAGTTTTATTCCTATCCACATTGCCAATCTCTATTTCATGTCGCTTTTAAAACTTGAGTCCAAATCTTCATCAGTATAGCCCTCCACCAGAGAGATAGTCACATTAAAATTCACATTAATTTACATTTAGTTTCTCATTAATCCATATTGGTGATCTAGATAATCCAGATGGGTAATTCAGATGTCTTCAGGCCACTCAAATGGCTCCGGTGGTTCTGGTTCACTCTCTTCCTCCACCTTGGGCCCTCCAGCTGAAACAGAAGCAACACATGATCTTCAGTTGCTCTTTTCACAGACATTGAAGTCACACAATGAATATTAGACCTTTATATAGCAAAACATTTTGCTTTTTTGATCAACAATTGAGGTCTACTACATCAAAAACTGTCAACAAAATTATGATCCATAAAATTTTTAATTGTGTGCTTTTAATTTTTTGATCCACTTTCAAAATGGAGTTAAAGACTAATGAATTTTATTATAATTATTATCATTATCAATTTTATTATTATTATTATTATTATTATTATTATTATCAATTTCCTTACCAGCCACATGTTCTATAAGTTCTTCATCTTCTCCAGGCTTGCTGTTACTTAACATGATGATGCCGCCATTAGACACCTAGAAAGATCAATATGTAACCTTGAATTTCATCATCTAGCAATCAACGCTAATGCTCATTATCCACAATAATACTCATGCAGACAAGAACTAGTATATGCTGAGTAAAAATGGGAGGCAGTGTGTCATGGATTTGTCCTATTATAAAAATTACCCTGGCATTTTCAATAATTTACACGCACAAATAAGTCATAAAGGTAACATTCAATTCATATTTCTGTCATTAAGAATTATTCTGGTTTGAGTCAATTTTGTCTCCTGTACACTCCACTATATGAGACCTTCATTTTTTTACAGTCTGAATATTTTAAAACATGGCAATTTCATGCCTAATATCACTCGATTACAGAAAGTGCTTTAACTTAAAATCTTTTTAGTGGTCCAATCATTAGAACCTCTGGAAAAAATCATTCTCATTCTGATGAAGAAAAGGCATTTTGTTGCAACTCTGCCCACTTTTAACATGCTTAATGCCTAAAAGGGTCACTTAGAGCATCATTAGATAAGGATTTCCACTGCTATTTAAAGGTTAAGTTAACTTGAATTAAAGCAGACTGTTCATCCATGTGTTCACAGCTAGGTTAGAGGTGACATGAAAAAATCTAATATGGCTGCTTGCGTGACCCCTTGGGATGGAAAAAAAAAAAAAAAAAAAAAAACAATTATACTTGCTGGATCCCACAACTCTTTATTAATTTATATTTGAACACAAATATTTAGATGCTCAATCTCTTTTAATGTGTACCTGAACAAACATGTTATCGGTCTATGAACAAATGAAGTGACACAACTGTTGCATAATGAGCTTACAGACACTGATTTAGACGTACGGATACTTAAATTCAAATACATATTTTCTGATTTATAAATGATAAAACACCCAATTTGTCTTTTGGCACACTTGACGGCAATGTTTTTTCAAACTAAGTGAAATAACTAAATCATGAACCTACAGGTTACACCGGGCCAAAAAACTTAAACAGCGCATAAAATCACACTTACTTTAAAAGTGCAACTTAAACTCCATCTGATCTGTTTTTCGAGATATTTAAAGGTTATGTTAAATCAGTTTAGTGAGACTGGTTTATTGGTGACTTGGGTGTCACAGGTCAACATAATAACACAGTATCTGCATTCCTCAGATGTGTAACAACTTGTGTACTTTACACCAAAATTAAGAAATCTTTTTTGGCAAAGATGTGAGAGGTGTTTCAGTGACTCTCATTAAGCAGTATCAACACATCATGTGTAATTTTTGTGGCACATGTACTGTTAGAAGTGCAATTCTTTCCATATTTATCATTCTTCAAAAATCTCTTCCAAGTTTCCAAAAATTGAGAATTTGTTTACACATCAGACATCTAGACAAGTTCACACCAGAACTAACTTTGATCCCAAAGGAAATAACTACATGACATCACAATTATGGTCAGCTACCCTTCCGCCCTCTCACAGAATTTGAATTCCCAAGTTGTACTACAGAAAATGTCTAAAGATTCAATCAGCAAGTAACCAATTAAAGTAAAGCCCCTGAATTGAACTGGAGATGAAGATGTTCCTCAGGTAGTTTTTGACCATCATTTGATATTCAATCACCAACATATTTTTGAAGGAATACATTCATCAACAACAGAACTTTTTGGTTATCCTACCATGATGCTTCCAACAAGCTTATCAGACTTAGTAACATTCTTATTCAACATTTGCCATATGACACATACCAGCACATGATCGAAGTAAGGTGATGGCAACAGCACCATTTTTACAAAAAGACTTAATTAATTGTTTAAAACAAGTTGCTCAGGTTCTAACAAGTGACCTCTATTTACTTACATCTTTCAAACCCTTGTATTTGGAACCTTCTGGTAGGGAGACAACTCGCAACTGAAAGAACAAATTATTTAATTATCATTATTTATATTAATGTAATATTCATTCATGTATATTTTAAAAAGAAGTATTTATGTAATCTTATTAAGTACATCAGTGCTGAACATAACCTATTATCTTAACTACTTTAACTACTAATACATTTTGTATGGATATATACAAGCATGCTACTAGTACATATATGGCCCCATTCAGAATAGGGGACTATAACTAGTCTAAGGGTCAGATAATATTTCTGGATCCCCCTGTGCTGTGTGACCAATGCCTATTGACCATAGGTCTAAGGCTGCCTTCAGAACTCAAGTAAAAAATAAAAATTCCTGGGTACTTTAACTGAGCTCAAACCTGATTTATCACCTTTCATATTCCACAATTTACCTGAGCTCTCATCACTCTGGCTGGGTTGTCCAACATTTCAAAGGCTGGCTCTTCTTTCTTTTTTTCTTCCTTTTCTTTCTCTTCAGCTTCCTCTTTCTTTTCTTCTTTTTCTAAAAAGCATTAGTATTATACCGGTTAATAAAACCCTAACCCAGTTTTATCCAATAATTTAAAATGCTAATTAATAAGTAGAGACTTTGAATTTGCTCTGTAACTGTAAAAGTTTAAATTGCTTTCAATTATTATAATATTTAATACATTTATATAAAAAATAAGGTCAGTGTTAAAATGTATTTATTTTTTAAAATAAAATTTTACAGTGCCACTACATCTCTGCTTTGGCTTAAATACAATAAACCTAGATAGGTTTGAGGTCATTATGGTTAAACTTTTTCTAGGCTTGCTATTAGGATCACTGTTATAGTCAACTTTATGAGGGAATCTACAGAAAATTTGCCCAAGTCAACAGCTTAATGTCATCCTGAACATGGAAGAGCAGTGACTGAGTCACCAGCCATCACCAACCTTTCTTCACTTCCTTCTTGTCTTCTTTCTTCTCAGCTTCATCTGTCTTTTCTTCATCCTTGATGCATCAAAAGGCAATTACAGTTAAAAAATTTCACCAATTCATGCTTTTAATTTAATAAAATGCAACAAATATGGCACAAAGGCTAGAAAATGTTAACTGGAAATCAAACTGAAAGATCTGTACATACATAATAGAGTTCTTTCCATTTTACGGCTTGAATTTTAAATTTTTCAGAAATCAAGTACCACATTTAGGATGTCTACACGTACCACCTCCATTTTCTCCCCTCCTTCTTCTTTCTTCTTATCAGCTTCTTTCTTCTTCTGTTTGGCTGTGATACTGAGTACGGCTGTCTCGACTTTCTCCCCCTTCTTGTCTTTCTTCTCCTCTAGTGGCGGAGGGTAGGCGTAGGTTGATGGCTTGGCATTACTGCGGAACTGGCACTTGGGCATCTGAAGTATACCAAAAAAATGGTGAAAATAAATCTGGATGCTTCTTTTCAAAAGAATTAAGTTACAAAAGCTGGTTCTGTTGTACCCATCTTTTCTAACTTTCAACTGTCATTGAAAGAGTTTTCATGCAGCTAGTGCCCATGTGTCATAAATTTTTAATGCTTCTACATATACATGTATACTGTAATATTTTTTTCATTTTTCATCAAAATTATATTTCATTATTTCACTATTTCTATCAATAATAATAAAAGAAGAAAAATAACAGCAACTACAACAAAATCATAGCATAATTTATACAAATCGAATCTTATACTCCTATCAATCATAAAAACAGTAAGCAAAATATCAATTCTAGATGATGATGTAGTCTCCACATATGTACAGAGGTGAGCACCCCCCCCCCCCCCCATCATACCAATAAACCCACCTTAAGGTCTTTGTTCAGTCCAATGATGGCAGTAGGGGTGAAGGCCAGGGCCAAGAAGTGGGTCAACGGGAACCAGTACCAGAACTGTTGGAACACCAGGAACCCTACCACTGCAGACATGTTGGTGTGACCAGTACGACTCTGCAGCGACATGGTCACATTACGGCCTCCTGAAGTAGAAGAGTGACACAATTTTATTATCTAACTGGACTCTTTATAAGGAACAGAGTTGACGTGTATATACTTAGGTTGTTTCCAAGTATTTAGGGAGAAAATAAGCTCAGTTATTCATTCAATACACACACACACATGCACAATCACACTGTATGATATATCCTTAATTCTTACTAAGTTTTGCTCTCAATTTTGTTCATGAAATTCAGAAGTAAAAAAGACATGCTCAGTTTATGCTGCATGCAGTATTCCACACGTGTTGTCAATTTTTCCAGGAAATTTCCCAGAATTCTACCCAGGCAACATTAGCTCAATGTTGATCACCCTCAGCCCACGTTACTTAAGGTCAGTAGATCCAAGGGGGAAAAAAAAAAAAAAACAGACACACCCCGCGGATGTTTTCCTGTTAACCTGACCTGTGTATCCTAAAGCCTGTTATTTCTAGGAATTTTCCCAGCATTTCATGCCAGGAATTTCTTCATTTTATTTTGTACTTAACTCAGCATATACTACCCATGGTCATCTCATTGAAATAAACAGGTCACAAGTACATGATGGATCTTAACTGGCATGTTTACTTCCAAAGTCTTCAAGTTTGATGGCATTTCTTGATTTTTCTTCAATGTGTCAGCTTTGGAGAAGTATGTTAAGCTCTGAGAGGGTCACAGGTGAAGACATAAGAATGTTTAAGCTTACAGGTATAGTTACTTTACAGATACAGGGGGAGGGGGTAAGAGAGTGGCTGATTCAGGAACTTAAATTTCAAATTCACTTTTTATTCACTTACTTATTTATTTATTTTTTTTTTTGGGGGGGGGGGAGCATAAACTTTACCATGAATGCCATGACATATTTGTACATTGCACTTGTATCTTTCAAGGTAAATAAAATCTTACTACCCAAACAAAACAATAATATTTCTGGGGAGGCAACTTGTTGTTAACACTTAATATAAACTGCAAAACCCTGACCAATATTCTGCCAGTTTCAGAATAATAGAAAACGCAATAAATTAGACAGTTGTGTTACACAACTTATCCATTATTGTGAGAGTTTATCAAATTTGTTACAAAAACTTCAGTCAAAAAGTTTCACAGCCAAAGAAAACACCTTTGGTAGAAAGTATGTGCTTAGAGAGAGGCAAAGGCTGGAACTTTTACATGAGACTGTTATACCCAATTAATTACAATCAACAAGAAATATTTACAGCTGGAATATTAACATTTACATATTTGTCAAACACCAAGAACATCAATTTGAAAAATGACACGCCCCTGAAACTGTGAGATACTGGAAACTAAGGGTGCATTCCCAGGGATTTAAATCAATCCAGAGATTTAGATTTAGATCGACCTAACTCCCTGGTGGTTCACGCTAAATTGCAGTCAGCCGAGCGCGCACCATAGTTAATTACCCCCTTACAGCTTTTAGTAGGCGGGACAGACGCTTAAGCCGGCTAAGCTGACAGTAATCTAGTGAGACTCCCCACAGGGATAGATCTATCTAAAATTTATGGGAATGAGGTCCAAGACACTGTATACAATATTAAATGCATAACATGCATAATAAGAAATAATCATTGTTGAATGTTCTGCAACTGAACACAAACAAAATCCATGGCCTAGAGGCAGATTGCAAGAGACTTGGCTAAAGTTGCAGACATCTTAAGACAAAAGTTCAGCACCCAGACAAATGGAGGGATCTTATAAGCTTCCTTCCCCCCACTGGGGGTAATAGCCCTAAGTAAGAGTTCATCCATAACTGGCATCTACAATCATTCATTATTTGCTAAACAAGACCCTATCTAGGCAACCAAACTTTAGGCACAGTACCCTCTTGGTCCAAATTTCTCTAAACAAATTCCTCTCTCTTTCAAGCAATGGTCTGTCACAACAGCCTGTTCAGACAAGAACCACTTTGGACTGGGTTATCAGGCTAAGATCTGTCACTAAACACCAGGCCCATTCAACCTCGCTCTACTGTAGATTGTTTTAATTAAGACTAACTTTCCCTATGCATTAGATATGAGGTCATATGAAAAAAATACATTCCTCCAGTTATAAAAAGTTATACCTGCATCAGCAAAGAAACAAATTGATTATACAATTAGGTATTTAAATATATGATGTTCAATGGGTTTAATCTGTCCACATGTAATTTCATAGCTCTATTTGAGAGGTATTATTTGTTGTTGCATTGTAGAAAGTTAGGCCCGTAACTTGGGGGGTGGGGGTGGGGGGTGGGGGTGAGGCGTTCAAACGAAATGCCCTTTTTGTCAGGAAAAGATTCACTCTGGGTAAATTTTTATTTAGGTACAAGATTGTTTTATGGTAAAATGTCTTTTTCAGAAAAAGAACCCTCCTTTTGAATTTTCTGGCTACGAGCCTAAAAGTCATATGATTATCCATTAAAAAATTTTAATATAATATTAGATAAACACTTAAAAACAAACTAAGGGCAATGTGTATGGGAAAATATAGACATGCTTACAGATAGGAAATATTACAATTTAATACCGACTCAACTAGAATGCCAACATCTGCTTACACCAGGGAAATAAGCTCGGTTCATAACTGACCCCATGTGAAGACGCCCACAGGCTCTCACCTCTCTTCTCTCACAAACACAACCTGTCAATTAAGTGTAGATCTACGGGCAAGTACAGATGAAAGAACATCTCCCAACTTGTGTACAGTTGATGATGTAACAGTTGAGTACACAGGTATGTAAATTTGACTTGACCTTTTCTTTCTGTTTACAGATCACAAACAGCCAAGTCATTTTAGTCAGAATCTGGAGTGAAGTGTATGAGCATTTCCAAACTTTATTTTCTGTTTACAGTCTGCGTGGGGGTTTCAGTGTTTTAGTCCCTGAAATTATTCTGGATTTTGATGGCTGGTAGTAAAGAAGTTAGCCATAACTTCAATGGTGGAAAAGTTTGAAAGTTCTGGGTAAGTTTTGGATTTTTACTGACACTTTATAAGGTATTGTACAGATAGGAAAATTAACAAGTTCAAACTCCAGTCTATGCACACAAAAAGAAAGGTTATTTTCAGATTTGAATTTCTCAGATAAGTTTTGCCTTTTTTCTTTACCTTTTCTACAGTAAAAAGAAATAATTTCACTAAAAGACAATCAACCATAACTTTGCAAACCATTTTATAAGGAAAAGGAAAAAATTCTAAAGAGAGTTACTCTTTGTTTCTTTTTTTATTTGTGAATTTTGGTTAAGAAATCTAGTAACATTTGATCTATAAGATGTCAAACTGATAGAAAGCATTATAATACTTAGTAAGCTAACTACAGGTAACGGATTTAGTCAGAGGACAACGCACCACTAACGCGTTGGGTGATTAAAAACTTCGTCTAATACCTAACTACGCCCCCTTTTTATGAATGATCGCCGTGGGAAGAAGACAATGCGTATGTCATAACAAATTCAGCACAAATGCAAATTAAGCCAGAATATAAGCCACAGTTTTCAATATATTTTGCATTTTAATGAAAATTAAAATGGAACATAGGTTAATTAAAACTGCCACAGAAAAGAGAAAGTATTTTTTGGTCAGAAGTTCTGAAAATGTCAACATGTTAATGGAAATTGAGGTGTTTTTTCCAAAAGACTGAATTTCTGAATTTCTTGAAAAGACTGAAAAATGTCTTGCCTTCAATACAAAGGGAATTATATTTTAGTATGAAATAAAGTGAAAACAGTGTTCAATCTGCAAGGAGGACTCACCCTCACCTCTTTCAAACAAAACATGTTATTCATACCTATAATATCTTAAAACACAAAAAACTTGGAACTGTCTTAACTTTATTTCATACCAAAATGAAGAAAATTCTCACACCCAAAAATAGGAAAAGTACAACAATATTAACATAAAAGAAACAATCTATTCCCCAAGGAAGAGAAGTTCAGGTGCCTTTCCTAGAGAGGTTACATCACATGCGGGCCAGTGCATGTGCACCTGATCATAACTCGTTACCTCAACATGGAAATCCAATTAATATTTTGTTTCTAGTTGGGTTTGGAAATGCTGATTTGATTAAGCCCAAAGCCAGGAGAAATTGTTTTAGGATCATTTTCTCCATAAGTTTGTTTCTGGTTGGTTTTGGAAATGCCGTTTTAATTTTAACTTGCCACAAAGTGTAACAATTTCAAGGTTGTAAGTACACTATTTTGTGTCTAGTTTTATTTTTACCACACAGGCTCAATGAAGTCCAAAACTTACTGAAACTATCTCAAGATTGTCCATGTTTGTAAATTTTAGGGTTACAAAACCGTTCTAGACTCATTCTTCTAGTTGCTGCAGTCAACCTACAGTGTATACATTGTCACTAATAGTTTTTTAACAGTTCTTGAACAAAGTGCCATGCAAAGATCATGTATATAGACAGGGCATAGTTTCTTCTTCTTATTATTATTGCATGATTAAAAAATAAATTACTTCTTAATTAAGAGACATTTTCCTAACCAGTTCCTTGAGGCATGGTTTTTGGACCCTTCGTTTTTAGGGCCATAATCACAAAACTTACTCTTCAGTGTTTATTTCTATAACTTCTTTACAACAGACCAAGAATAGACCTCCACCTGAAAATCATTACCTGTGTCCTTGACTCTAGTCACCAGAGTCAGTAGGTGCTAATAACCCCAGGACAATACCAATATCTTGTATTCAGGTACAACTCATCCAGTCTCTCTCACACAACAAAACAATTAACACAGAGGCTATATATTAATAGATTGATAATAATCATGACAAACAATGCAGAGACTGAGGCTGACCAGTTCAATGTATCAGTTCAGTTAATGTGTTGTCACCTATAGGAAGGTAAGGTGGGCACAGAGGGGCAGGTGGATCCCCATATAGGTACCCTCCTCTCCCCCCCCCCAAAAAAAAATAAAAAATAAAATAAAATAAAATAAGTGAAACAAGACTAGATCAAGTGTTTTGTTTAATTCAGGACTGTGCCTTATACATTAAAGTAAAATTGTCCTCATCAACTATTTTATATTTGTCAGGTAGAAAGAGGCAAATGATTTTTTTTTGTTGTACTCCCCCCTCCCTTGCCAGAACCTTGCCATCTACAGGGGCGGATTTGTCAAATTTACATTGACGGGTATCTAATTTTTTCTGTCGGAAGACGGTCAAAAATGGAAGATGGATCAACAAAGATAAATCTATCTATCTATCTATCTATCTATCTATCTATCTATATATATATATATATATATATATATATAT